CCATGAAGAAAAAATATGATCAGAAATACTGTGAAAATTTCCTTGCTCTGTTAAGCATAATTAGGGAAATATTTAAAAATACAAATTAAAAAAGAGGCTAATAACTCTCATTTCAACTGTATATACATGCTGAGTTTTATGAGTATGAGTATGAATCCTGATGAGTGATAAAATACAATTATGGATGCAAATATAATCCCATTTTAGGTCTAAATATAATGTATATAACAAGTACCAATAAAATAGACATATTTACACAATTATAAATGAAATGCTGCAATAATAAACAATAAACATAATTATCAGCCAAATATTATATAGTTGTTGATTTTTTTTCTGTTGTAGAACAATATAATAAATTGACTACTCAACATTAATGGTCATAATAAATACTCAGAATCCTATCTAGATTCATGGTTGCTCATTTTCCATCCAGAATTCATTTACAGTGTCCCCTATTTGTATTGCTTGAGCCTTTTTCTGCGGGTCTGGGTGAGCGTGTGATGCGTGTGATGGCACCTTGGTCAGAGAGCTGAACTGCTGACTCAATGCACAGGCAGAGAGAAGAGGGGGGAAGGAGAGAGAGAGAGAATGAGAGAGAGAGAGAGAGCGAGAGAGCCTTTTATTAGCACCGCATATGCTTGAAAACCAATAAACATTGAGAACACCTGCTTAATACAGTCATTTACAGTCTCCTGTGTCTCCATATTATCACTCAGACATTGTTTATTCCTACCAAAACAGCTAAATTGTACAATTAAATATTATTTGAGAGTTTTCAGACAAAATACCACCACATCCATCGCTTTCATAAACATTCAGGATTTAACACTTTCAACACTTTACAACATGGCATGCACTCAGTTAGTTATATAATAATCAACGATGCTCGTACAGCATTTATTAATCTTAGTTCAACATTTCCTATAATGCGTTATAAAAATCCTGTGTTTGTTAACATTAGCTAATGCACTATGAGTTAACAAAGGTAATGATAAGCAATTGTATTTCCATTAACTAATATTAGCAAACATATATAAATACTCTATTTCAGAGGTCGCCATAGTGGAATAAACCATGTTTTAAGCAGTTAATGCGCTTCCAGCCACAACTCAGTATTGGACACCCATACACACACACATACACACTCAAACACTACGACCAATTTAGTTTATTCAATTCACCTATAGCGCGTCTTTGGGTTGTGGGGGAAACAAGAGCACCCGGAAAAAACCCACGCGAACACTGGGAGAACATGCAAACTCCACACAGAAATGCCAACTGGCCCAGCCAGGACTCGAACTAGCAATCTTCTTGCTGTGAGGCCACAGTGCTAACCACTAAGCCCCAGTGCCACCCACTGTATTAAATGTTTAAATTAAATAATAAATGAAATTGTTCATTGTTTGTTTTTATTAGTACATACATTACCATTAACTATTTGTCCAATATTGAAAAGTGTTACCAAAGTATCAGTGATTCAAGCTGCAATAAGCATATATTAACATTTATCAACAATATAAAGTCCCAAAGATGTGTTAAATATGGGGGTAAATCTACTTCACAAATGGTTTTATTTACTAAAAAAATTATTAGATTATTATTAAAATAGTATTATTTCAGTGATATAACAAATACTAAAAGTGAAAATATAATTTATGACAATGTAAAGGATGGCTAAAAAACATACTTAAGTTAAAATAAACAGCATTGCATTCCACTTAAAATTTTAAAAGAAGTAAAGAAAACTGCCATGGCAGATAGCCTTATAAGCGGTGTGCCAACATATAGTGCCATTGCACTTTGAGCTTTTGGGTTCTGGTTCACTGATTTTTCCAGATTGAACACCCCACCCACTCTTTCCAACTTCCATCTACAGAAATGTAAAATAATATATAAAGGTTTTAACATACACTGCTGGTCAAAAGATTGGGGTCAGGTTTTTTTAAGAATATTATTCTGTTATTGATATTCTGGTGATTAGCATTTATTAAATGTGAAAAATTGTTAAATTGTGAAATAATTATTTAAAATTTAAATAACTGCTTTCTTCTTGTATGTAGTTCAAATAAAATTATTACACCAGTCATTATTGATTTTATTATTATTACCTTTAATAATAATAATAATAATAATAACAACAATAATAATAATATTTTTTTTATTAATGTTAATAATAATATTAATATTAGAGTGATTTTTGAAGGATATTTTGACTGATGACTGGAGTAACGAAGCTGAAAATTCACTCAGAAAAGCTTTAAAATCACTGGAATAAATGATTAAATTAAATTATAAACTACTTTTGAACAGTAATTTTATAGTGCAATAACATTTTACAAATTTAAAATTTGTACTGTTTTTTATTAAACAGTGAGCAGGCCTTAGTGAGCAGGAGAAGCTTATTTTAAAACATTAAAAAATCCTACTGACCCCAAACATTTGACCATTCACTGGTATTATTCAGTATATATAAATAATATTCAATACTTTCAATATTTGTGGCACTCTTAATGATTTTAGTAATGTAACATAATTTTTAAAAATGTTTGATTAAATCTACAATATAATGTAAAGAATAAATATATTTTTAGATTAAATTATACAACTTCACTTACTGTTCAGTTTATTGTCCCTATTATACTAACAGCGAAAACAAACAAAAAAGCAAACAAACAAACAAACAAACAAACAAAAAAACACAAAAATAAATCCTAAAAAGTAAAAGCTAAAAACTAAAAACGAGAAAGGATATTGTTCGTTCATCATACTAAACCCTCTTTTAATAAACAGTTAATTTTGTTAGAGGTCTGATTAAAATATGACTTTGATTAAAAACGCTGCCATTACATGTCAAAAAGACAAAAAAAAATCTATAAAGCGCATAAAACAAGTCCATAAAATAGAACAAATATAATAATTGGACATTTCAATAGACTTTTTTGGTGAACTTTTAAAGTAATTTCGCTCAATAGTTAGCTTTATGTGTGAAAACAAACAGCATTGGGTTCTGTTGAGCAGTGTGTAAACATCATAAAGCTTGAATTAAAAGTATATTTTAGTTGGTATTGTTAAATATGTCTAAAACAATCCTTTAAATAAATATTAGAGAAGTAATATTACTTTCTGATTTCATTCTTGCAGCCTAATTTATTTAAAATTTTCACTCAAAAAGACCCATTTACTCAAAAAAAAAAAACAATGTTTGTTACTATCATTGTGTGTTCTGCATCTATTATTGAGGTCTCTGTGTTCACTTGGGTGTCTATCTAATCTACTGTGCTGTTTACTTAAATGTTTACAAGTAAGACATACATTTCAAAAAACATGACTTGAGTCAGGGTTATAGAGTTCAAGTTAAACAAAGAATGAGTAAAATCTCCTTCGAAACAAAGCTGACCACAAATTAAGCAGAATTTACTCAACAATGTCACTTCCACGCAACTTGGTGAAGTAGATTTGAGTTGATTTCATATACACTGAAAAAAAATGATGTGTGCAAAACTGTTGCAAACTATTTATTTGTGTTGAATTTAAACAAATTAAATGTAATACTATTCAACTTAATTTGTTGGTTTAAATTCAGCCCAAATAAATTGTTTACAAACCCTTAACATAAAAAATAGTACATCCAAGGAATCCTCTTTGAATATTTTTTTTCAGTGTAGGAATATACTTCTGAGTGGAAAATAAATGAGTAAGTTCCACTTGTAGCATTGATTATCTTTTTAAGTGCATATCAAACAACTTACACGGGTCACAAAACTGAGTGGAATGAATGTCTTATTTTTAAGAGTCACCTTAGTTCAATTTGTATTGATCACATTCCACAGTGCCTATAAAGTCATCTTTACTTATAAATGGGAAGCTGCTCGGAATAGAAAGTGACCATAAAGCTGTATAGCTTGGTGAAAAACTGCATCTGCACCTGTGACCCTGTATTGCACAGGTGGCACGTCATTACGGAAGGGTCAGTCTTGCACTAACTGTTAAGCAGCAGTTGACAACAAGGTCGGGGGTTAAAGGCTGTTTTGCCACACATGTTGTTTGGATCTCGAGAAAATGAGAGTTGTGTAAGCCAAAAATAACAACTAGTGTTTGAGCATCTATTTTTGTCAAGAGTTGTGAAAGTGCATCAGCATTACAGTCAAATGCATTTGCTGTACAATTTGTACACTTTTAGATTTGCGTTGTAGCAAAATATTCTACCGCTACACATCGTCCGTGATTTTAGAGTTTAGATTACTCATTTTTCTCGTAAAGCTTGTCATAAAGGGGCAGGCCTTCCAGCAAAACTTTCAGTGTTATTGGAGTTCGTAGTACAACAATTACTTTCAAGAGGAATAAAACAACAGTTCAGATGGATGGTCTTTGCTTTCCTCTGAAGGAGAGGGCAGAGGGCTAAACTTATTTCCACGCTGGTACAATCAGTGGCGTGCAGCTCTTCTCTGAGTCTCTGGAGTCATTAGAAACACAGTTGTCTCAGGAAACAGCCGCTGCGTGAGGTCAAAGGTTGTTGCGAGTAGACATACCTGTGTACTGGGATTTTTTTTTATGTTCTCAAGGGTTTCAGATCAATCTGTGTCAACATTTTATGAGCCATGTTTTTACATTGATTGCTTACAGCTTAAAATTGGAACATTTTTTGCATTGGCGTTAGTGGGTACATTTAATCTTTGTGCAATGTTGAATTGCACAAATGGTTCTTTATATTCTTTATAATGGAGTAATATTATTTTACAAAAATACCCGAGAGATATTTAACACTTAAAATGGTGCTTCTTTTATATTGTTAAACAATACAGTTTAGAAATTTTATTTTTGGCATTAATGTTATGAAAACAAAAGTTATTTATGATAAAAATTATTTAGATTAAACAAAAACTTATTTACATTTTAAACTGGTCACTGAAGGGCTCTTTGTGGAACAAAAAGTTGCCTCTTTAAGGCAGTTGTGCAAAAACATAACACAAAGAATATATTAGGAAACACAAATAATATTTTTCTTTCAACAAAATTTATTTTGGAGGTAAAAATTAATTGCAAATCAAAAATAATTTCCCTTTCAAAAGAGTTTTGATGACAATTCTTGAAAATGTTACAACTGATTCGACAAACAAATAAAAGATATACAAAATGTTCAAACAAACAAACAGTGCAATGCATCTATTGCCAAAAGGGTCAAATGTCATTTGCATAGCTGAGATGGCGAAAACCAGAAGATAAAAGATACATTATCAAAACCAGCTTGACATGTCAGAGATAAAGTTGAGTGAAAATATAAAATACTAGATAACAGAATAAAAACTTTTCCCCTGCTGACAAAAAGAAAACAAACACCTAAAACCAGTCTAAAAGTTTGTTGGACTTGCAGATCATTCTTCAACTGGACAGACCAGCAAACAATCTTATGCTGCTTTTATATATAATATTTAAGAGAACTTCTAAGTACACAGAGAACTATCGCAAATATTCGGGCGATGATGGGTTTTCACAAGAGGGTCCATTATTGCTCTGGCAGCTCATTCCGACCACTAGCCTTTCGCACTTGAGTTTATATGCGTCTCTCTCGCGCACCAGCCGACCGAGCTCGTGCTTCAGCTGCTCCACCTGCGTCGCCAGGCTCGTCTTCTCGTGCTCCAGCAAGTGCTTCTGCTGAACGCGTTTATGCCGACACGACTGCGCGTAGCCGCGGTTTTTTAAGGTACGACGTTTCTGCTTGAGGCGGATAATATCGTCCTTGCTCATCCCGCGGAGATGTCGGTTGAGCTCGCGCACGGACATGGACACAAGCTGCTGGTCGGAGAAGCGGCTCTCTGCGCGCTCGCTGCGCCGATGGTGCGTCTGCTGGAGCGGCTTCAAGTGCGCCGCGCCTTGCGGAGAGCAGTCGAGCTGCTGCATTAACTGCTCCACGCTTTTACCGTGCGCAAACTCAGGGTTGTGAAGATCTGTGTACTGCTGCTGCTGCTGATGGTGGTGATACTGTTGCATGCCCGGCGGGGCGAACTGACCGATGCTCCTGTATCCCTCCATCTCTGCCTGGTGCAGCTGAGGCGGGTGTGCATGCATGAGATTAGAGCTTAAAGCTTCCCGGACGTCATCGTGGGTCAGTTCAAGGCAGTGTGGGTCTGCGTGCTGCGGGTACGCGCCCGTGCTGCTCAGGGTCCAGTAGAGATCTTCGGTCCTCTGTCCGCTCGGGCTGAAGCTCGGCGAGGAAGGCACGGAGCTGCACGGTGTGCTCATGGGGGTGCTGGACACCGAGCCCGGGACGTGCACGCCGCACTGCTGGATAAAAGAGCGCTCCGGTCCCAAAGCTGCAGCCTCCTTCTTCACATCAAACCTCATGTCAAAGTCACCGTAGTCCAAATTCAGCTGATTTTTTGCCAGGTCCAGAAGACCGTGCTGCTCCGCCGACATGATTTCTGCTGATGTTTCGATCAAGTAAACAACTTAGTGCTTGTTGGCATTAAAGTTCAGGGGGGAAAACACAATTCCTCCAGTTCTGAATCAAGCTGGATGTGCTCTTTCAACCTCCCTCTTAAACTATTAGCCTGTTTGTCGTCGCTTTTTAGCTTCGGGTGGTCTCTCGGTGACAAGCGCAGGATGTATGTTGAAAAGAAAGTAAATCACGCTGCTTTAAAAGCAGCCGCGCAGTGAGGCCACGCCCTCCGCCCTATCACAGCTGTCAGTCGCACCAAAACACACTTCAATGTACAAATCTAAAACTCTAAAGAAAACCCGTCAAAGTTAAACAACGAAAATGTAACCCGTTTCTGATAATAATAATAATAATGTTATATTAAGTATATCAATATTTAAAAATATATATAATTTGTTTTATCTAGACCAGTGGTTCTCAGACTTTTTTCATCAAGTACCACCTCAGAAAAAAATTGTCTCTCCAAGTACCACCAAAATGAGCAGTGTTGAAATACATTAGCGTAGTAGGCCCAGTAAATCAGCTCCAACTCTCACAGTTAAAAAAAACATGGCAGATTACCTCAGAAATATAGGTTATAGGTCATATATGGCATATTATATACATAATTTTTGATACATTTTGAAATGTGTGTAGCATGTACATGAAATATTTCATTCCTCTGCGTACCACTAGAAGGAAGCCCGCGTACCACTAGTGGTACACGTACCACAGTTTGAGAACCACTGATCTAGACTAATGTGTACGTTTTTAAGAATAAAAAATGAACAAATGCTGATAACTGACCAACTCTATGAGGCCATTTAAGATTTTATTTCTTCAGTGACAAGCATTGATTAGTTTTGGTGAAAGTTTATTTCCTTGTATTTTCACATAAAATTAATAGCAGGGGCAGCAGGGTAGCTCCGTGGTCAGCATTGTCGCCTCACAGCTAGAAGGTCACTGGTTCGTGTCCTGGCTGGCATTTATGTGTGGAGTTTGCATGTTTTCTAGGTGCTCTGGTTTCCCCCACAGTCCAAAGACATGCGATATGGGTGAATTAAATAAGCTAAATTGGCCATATGAGTGTGTGCAAATGAGTGTGTATGGGTGTTTCCCATTACTGGTTGCAGCTGAAAGGGCAACCACTGTGTAATGTGGAATAGTGGGCAGTTCATTGCGCTGTAGCAACCTCTGAACAGAGACTACGTCGAAGGAAAATGAATGAATGACTGAAATTAATAGCCACATTTGAGCTATTATAATCTGGTTGACATTATTTGACCCCAAATTAAAATGTACTCCCCATTTACTCTCCCTCAAATAGTCCCAAACAGTTATGAATTTCTTTTTTTCTGTTGACCACAAACTAAGTTATGTTGGAAATTGTTAGAAACGTAAATCCGTTGACTTTCATATAGAAAAAACAAACACTGTGGAAGTCAATGGTAAAAAGTGTTCAGCACTTTTCAAAGTATCTTCTTTTGCATTCATCAGAACAAAGAAACTCAAACAGGTTCGTGACAAGTAAATGGTGAGTAAATGATGTGAACTTTAAAATGTACTGACTCTCAGGAGGTGCAATGTACGGCCATATACGAACACTTAAAGTCAGCTTCTCCAGCAACTGTGACCAACAATAATAAAGGCAGAGCACAGCCTCATGCAGCACAAGACCATCAGGGTAGCATGACACTATTATAAAGCTATAGACACATTAACTAAATGACATAAACTGCAATATAACACGGAACTTATATAAATATCTAGATAAACATAATATAAAAAGACACCAATGTACATGGGTTAAAGACAGGATGTACCTTTTTAATGTACCCATGTAGTTTAATTAACAAAAGTTTGAGTTATAAAAAGCATTTTAAATGGCAAGTGTGTTTCGAATAAAACTAGTAAAAATATGCGTGACATAACCAACAAATATCACAACATTACTCAGTGTAACAGATTTTTGTAGAAAATAAGAAACATGATTATTATGAGCTCCAATTTCTAAAAAAATTTAAAGTAAAAGGTAAGAGACTGGTTGGATAAATGAAGTGTTGTCTTACATTCAGTTGGAAAAGATTAAATATATGATTCGAGGCTCGAAACGCAAGCTCCTAGACAAATGGTCCCCCTTTAATAAATACTTTAAAGAACTCCCTGGCCTTTAGAATAAATTTGTTTATTTTATTTATTTTTTTTCTTTCTATGTTCTTTCTATTTTGTACTCTTTGCATGTTACCAAGCCCTTCATGTCAAATGACAACATATTGACAAAATATGATAATTCTTATGATAATAAGAATATGACAATGTATTTTTTACCTTTGACATATTTGGAAGGTTTTGTGATTCAGGATGATATAGCCTGTTTTCTTATTCTTTTTTTGTATTAACATGCAGCTCTTTTGTATATTCCTTCTTTTAGATGTTGCTAAGTCTCTCATGTTAAATGATAACATATGGACTGAACAAATATGGTACACTCGGTTTTCTCACTGTCTACTCAGAAAGTCTGGAACGATATATGTTTATTTTATTAATTAGTTCATTCAATCATTCATTTTTTTTTCGGCTTAGTGCCTTTATAATCAGGGTTCGCCATAGCGGACTGAACCGCCAAATTATCCAGCATATGTTTTATGCAGCGTATCCCAACGTAACACTGGGAAACACCCATACACTCTCAATCACACAGATACACTACAGCTAATTCAGCTTTTTCAATTCACCTATAGCATGTCTTTGGACTTGTGAAACGGAGCACCCGGAGAAAACCCACACAAACACGGGGAGAACATGCAAACTCTACACAGAAATGCCAACTGACCCAGCCGGGGCTCGAACCAGTGACCTTCTTGCTGTGAGGCGATTGTGCTACCCACTGCGCCACAGTGATGTCCCTTTTATTTATTTATTTATTTAAAAATTTTAAATGCCGTGGTTCCGGTCGGGGAGGGGTTATGTACTGCTTTAAATTGTAAATGCAAAAAAATTGCTGGCAGAAGTTTTAAAACAGGTAAAACCGAATAGTTTGAAGAATAGTAAGTATAACATTTTTAAATGATAAATAAGTAGCATTTTTATTATCTAAAATATAGAATTAACTTAAATAGAGAATTTCATTGAAAGGTTCTTGTTCTACAAATGCCGGACAAGATTTGCCAGATAGATACATATAGATACACTCTAAAAACTAAAAATGTTGGGTTATTTCAACCCAATTCTGGATGTGATACGGCCTATTTTTTTATTTAATGAAAATGAATTTATTTTTTTATTTAAATGAACGGGAACAAATTTAACCCAATGTTTCGGGCTAATACAAATTTTACACAGTTTGTGTTTAACTAACCCAGCATTTCTTACAGTGTACATATTGTTACACAAAATTACATTTTAATGGGTTATCTTATACCAGCGTGGCCCAAAGTATAGCCTGCGGGCCAAAGTGGTGATCTTTGATTTGGCCCACCATCCTATCTGAATAGAGAGAGAGAATGATGGGGAGGTGGTTGGGGCGAATGCCTTTGACAGGGATCGTCATTTTGAATTTAAAATACCCCTTTGTTTCTTTGTTTTATTGCTGAGCTACAAAAAACAACCTGAAATCAGATGATACAATTAAATGTTGTAAATGTTCACTTTTAAAATGTGAAAACTGTCTCTTGACAGATAGAGGACAATGCTCAAGTCTTCTTTATTAAGGTGAAGGCAGGAGCACCACTTGGCTCAACTGGTGTATTCAGCACTGAACTCCATTGTGTTATAAATGAGATTGTTTATGTTTTTACTTTAGTAGTTCAGTATAAAATGTTTAAATCGACACTGCATTAGTTAATATGATTTAAAGTAACATTTTTAGGAAATTCCCTATGGCAAATTTATAGTAATAGAGTTTGGCATATATTTGGTTTAAATAGGTTGCATTTTAATGACACTTTAAGCATTATTTTTTGCTGGATTAGCTTGTTGGATGGTCATCATAACCACACTATTTTATGTATCAAAAATATTTGCTAAATATTTAAAATAAAGAAATAAAAGAACAATACAAAACTCCTTTTTTTTTATTATTATTCCATCATATATGATTAGGAAAAAAAGGAATCTGTTAAAGTTTTAATTAAAAACTGTAGCCTCTTGATATTTAAATATCATTAATTTAATAAACTGGCCAGCAAATTCAGCTTTCCTCAGTCGTGCTGAAATGACAGCCGACAAAGGATTCCACTTGGTGTTAAAGCCTTCTTCGATGGATTATTTTCACAATTTATTATGGCATAGCAGTCAAAATATGACAAATAAGCTTATGTACGGGACAAATTCTGAATCTTTGCCAGAAACACCCCTGGCTAAGGGCCTGTTAAAGGAATAACTTTGGGAACCCCAGTCTACTGTAAACCAGCTTTAGCCTACTTATATGTGCAACTCTTTTAGTGACACCATGTGGTCATTATGTGAAACTACGTATGTTTTCCAATATCTGAAAACATTTAAAAATGATCTGTTTAAACAGCATTGATAAACCTGCTTTTAATCAGATATGTTTGTAGTGCACTGACTAATTAAATTACCTTAAACTTGAGTCAACATTTAAAAGTTCTTGTGACAAGGATGTAGAGAACGAAGCAGAAATAGAATATATTTGTATACACAACAGTTCACAGCACTGAATAACTGGAGCCTCAGTTCACTTGATATTTAGTCAACACAAAAGCAATAATAAAGCCAAGGAAACAAGTGCACGAATGCAGAGCCTTGACAGAACATTCAATGAGACTTTCAAAGCACGATGATGACAAGAAACCTAAAAGCAGAGGTCATGATTGCAGGAGAACAGCTAAGGTAAGCTTTATTAACCCAAAATTATAGTCTCATAAGGACATTTACACAGCATGTCATGGTTAAAAAGGACAACACCTCACAATTGTCTTGTTGGTAACTAAAAATTAGTTCTGTTAGGCCTAAAGTTAGTCATCTTTGCATTAAACACTGTAAAAATGTTAAAAAGTCATGACAATAAATGCTTTACGTTACTTTAATATAATTTTATAAAAGATAATAATAATAATAATAATAATAGTATTAATAATATTAATAAGTTATTAAACTGGATTACTAGAAAATTAAATTGATTCAAGTAAAAAAGTTAGGGCAGAAATATTTATTTACTTACAATGCTGTAGTGATTATTATGAATTTAATTTGTGCTGAAGACTGCGACTACATGATAACAAACTGATCAAGGACCGCAGACACCATTTGCGGACGTACCCGAACTGTTTTGTGGCTCAGGAGCTCATTAATTGGCTGATTGCTCATAAAGAAGCATCTGATCGAGACACAGCTGTCCGACTCATGCAGCACCTCATGGATTACGACATCATTCATCACGGTACTACATTATTTACACCAAATATTATCATCAATACACAAACGTTTCAAATAATGACACTATTTTATACATATCATACTGTATATTGTCAAAACCTCTAAAGCACTTAATTGTTTCTTAAGCATGTGCATTCTGTAGACAAATAACTTTGTTGGAAAATTGAGTTAGAAGCAGCATAATTGTAAATGTATTCTTTTATTCTGATATTTTGCATGCTCTGTATTCATCTCTTCATGTTTGAACGAACAGGTTCAAAGTACATGTACACTGTTGTTGTTTTTATGTGTGATTTTTTTTTTCCTTTATAGTGTGTGATAAGTGGCCCGTGTTCAGAGATGCTAAATACTTGTACAGATTCAGAAAGGACGACGGCACATTTCCTTTTAACATAGAGGTTAAGATCTTCATGCGTGGACAAAGACTTTATGAACAGTAAGACTTTTTTGCTGGAAGAAAATAAAATGTTTCAAATGTTACTATGATTTTAATTTCTGGAGTACGTTTGATCATCACATTACGTTCATTGCATTCATTATGTTTATCAAAAACTTATCTGATTTGGGCGACCCAGTGGTGCAGTAGGTAGTGCTTTTACCTGAAAGCAAGAAGGTCGCTGGTTTGAGCATCGGCTGGGTCAGTTGGCGTTTATGTGTGAAGTTTGCATGTTCTCCCTACAGTCGGTTTCCCCTACAGTCCAAAGACATGCGGTACAAGTGAATTGGGTAGGCTAAATTGTCCGTAGTGTATGTGTGTGAATGAGTATGTATGGATGTTTCCCAGAGATGGGTTGCAGCTGGAAAGACATCGGCTGCATAAAACATATGCTGGATAAGTTGGCAGTTCATTCCGCTGTGGCAAACCCAGATTATTAAAGGGACTAAGCCGAAAAGAAAAATAAATGACTAAATGAATGGAATGGAATCTTTATTCTTTAATGCTTTGTTTTAACATTATTCTTAATATAATAATAAAGGGCTAAAGGGCTAGTTTAACCAACGATTCTTTCATCATTTACTTAATGTTCTTCTTGTTTAATACAAAAGAAGATATTTTGAAAAATGTTGGAAACTGGTAGCCACTAGCCAGATCTCAATGACATGTGTCTCAACGTTCATCAGCATCTTAAAATTTTGCATGTTTCAAATGTTCTGATTTAAAATGGATTTAGTTTTTTGGGGGTTATTTGAGCAATTTGGAATGCAAAAAAAAAAAATTTGTGCTACTTTTCCATTCATTGCTCACTAAGTTTACCTAACTATGACCCAACTATAACTATGAAATGTGAAAAGGGTCTATTGACCTCCACGGTGGTTGTTTTTCTACTCTGGAAGTCAATGGCATTTTTCAAATTACCCTCTTATGTGTTCAACAAGAAATTAACCCCTAAATGTTTGGAACCACTTGAGTACAGTAATTGGTGAGAACATTACAAAATGTGGGTGAACTACTCCTGTAAATTTAAGATATTTCACCTAATAAAGAAGATTTGATGATTTGCTCACCTTCAAGATGTAGGTGATTTTCTACTTTATAAGATTTTTAGCAGAATTGTGGTCCTTGGTGATTTATAAAATGCAAGTTAGCTGCCACGGTCACTTTGAAAGTGAAAAACAGAGGCAAAACAAGATTAATTCCCCTGACTTCAGCCAATGCATTGAGGACTCAAAGCAAAACAACCGGTTTGTCCTTTTAAGACATTAAGTGCCATGACCTCACAATGAACTGTGTTTATAATCTACTGTGAGTTAAAGATAATCTATGTAGGAAATATATGAATATAAAACATTTTTGCATCAATTAGTATGCATCAAACTGATCAAAAGTCTATAAATATATTATAAATTATAATATCAAAAATAAATGCTATTTTAATTTTCTATGTATAACAGAATAATTATAAAAATTATCATGGCTTATTATTAAAATTTACATTTTACAAGAGGTACAAACACTGGTAATAATAAGACATGTTTCATGAGTACTTAATTTTTTTTACATTTTTGATTTTTGAAAATGTAGCTAAAATGTAATATTATTATTAAAATACACAATCCCATTGTATTCCTGAGCAAATAAATATTGCTTTGCCTAAAGCAAGAGACTTCTTAAAAAAAAAAATATCTCACTGTGTAAAAATTACATGTCATTGCATTCATTATATTTTTCCAAATTTTATCTGACTCGGAATCTTTATCTTTTTAATGCTTTATTTTAACATTATTTTAAATAGATAAATATAAGTTAAAATTAAACTTCTGTCATCATTGCATTTGAGCAGTTTGTAATGCGAAAAAATTCCATTCACTGCTCACTAAATTTACCCAAATATTCTATGAAAAAGGGTCTACTGACTTCAATAGCAGTAGTTTTTCCTACTATAGAAGTCAATGTCTACCAACATTTGGTGAGAAAATTCCAATATTTGGGTGAACTAGCCCTTTAAAAAGTAGGCAGGCACCACCAAAAAAAAAAAAAAAAAAGAACATTTGTAGATTTGCTCACCTTCAGGCTAAGATTTAATCAATTTTGGCTGCAAAAGGTTTTTAGTAGAATTATGGTAAATAATGGTCAATGGTGATTCATAAAATGTCAGGCTTTAAATGACTTCAATTGTTTGAATATAAAATGTTAGCAAATGTAAAAATTTAACAGCAAATAAATTATTCTTGTCTAATAAACTCAACTCTGTTTGTTACAACTGTTGCTGCTTCTTTGAAAAATTATATCCTTTTATATTTTGTAAATCCCACTGAATAAAAGTGTCTACTAGTCGCCAAAAGTAAGCGTAACATATGGTAATGAATATTTTCAAGGATTTTAAATCTCAGTTTGCTTCTTATAGAGTGATTTCCAGCAAAGACTCCATCTCACAGGTGAGACAAGAAGAGGGTGTGGCTTATGAACGCTCATTTCCTGGTTACATGTTAATTGATTGGCTGCTACAGAACAGTGAAATCGAGAGTCGACGGCAGGGACTCGATCTCTGCAAGGCCTTGCTAGAGCACGACATCATTCAGCACGGTAACAACTATAACTATCACTATTCACCATCAGGCAAGATGCAACATACCTCCATGTAAAATGATCATCTCTTCATGTTTGCCTTTGCCTCTTCATTTCAGTCTCTCAGAAGCACCATTTCTTCGACAGCGGGCTGCTGTATCAGTTCTGCATTAACTTTCGCAGACGGCGCCGTCTTTCTGAACTGTTGCATGAGACAGAGAATGAAGAGGTTGAATGTGCAACACATCAAACACAAGAAGACCAACCTGACAGTCCATTCACACTGCGCAAATCCCCCCCGTCAGTGGGCAACAGTGACTTCTTATGTGGTAGTACAATTGTAGAAAACTCTCTATTCATTTCAATTGTTTTTAGGCAAATGGCCCAATTTTATTTCACACAACAGAATAAATATGTAAAATAAGTAAATTGTATTATGTCAATATAAGTAATGTATATTCTAAAATAAATATCTAAAGATAATTTAAGTAATACATTCGCCGGCCATTTTATTAGGTACACCTGTCTAACCGCTCGTTATCGCAAATTTCTAATCAGCTAATCACATGGCAGCAACTCAATGCATTTAGGCATGTAGACATGGTCAAAACGATCTGCTGCAGTGCAAACCAAGCATCAGAATGGGGAAGAAAGGTGATTTAAATGACTTTGAACATGGCATGGTTGTTGGTGCCAGGTGAGCTGGTCTGAGTATTTCAAAAACTGCAGATCTTATCTTCTGGGATTTTTATGCACAACTATCTCTAGGGTTTACCGAAAATGGTTTAAACAAAGTAAATATCCAGTGAGCGGCAGTTCTGTGGGTACAAATGCCTTGTTGATACCTGAGGTCAATGGCCAGACTGGTTCGAACTGATAGAAAGGCAACAGTAACTCAAAAACCACTCGTTACAACTGGGATATGGAGAAGAGCATCTCTGAACTCACAACACATCAAACCTTGAGGCAGATGGGCTACAGCAGCAGAAGACCACACCGGGTGCCACTCCTGTGAGCTAACAACATGAAACTGAGGCTACAATTTGCACAGGCTCAAAAAGATTGGACAATAGAAGATTGGAAAAACTGTTACCTGGTCTGAAGAGTCTAAATTTCTACTGAGACATACGGGTGGTCAGGTCAGAATTTGGTGTCAACAACATGAAAGCATGGATTCATCCTGCCTTATATTAATGGTTCAGGCTAGAGGTGATGGTGTAATGGTGTGAAAGACCATTTTCTTGGCACACTTTGGGCCCATTAGTACTAACTGAACATTTTATCAATGCCACAGCCTACCTTATTGAGTATTGTTGTTGACCTTGCCTTTATGACCAGTGTACCCATCTTCTGATGGCTACTTTCAGCAGGATAACGCGCAATGTCATAAAGCACAAATCATCTCAGACTGGTTTCTTGAACATCACAATGAGTTCACTGTACTCAAATGGCCTCCACAGTCACCAGATCTCAATCCAATAGAGCATCTTTGGGATGTGGTGGAACGGGAGATTCATTTCATGGATGTGCAGCCGACAAATCTGCAGCAACTATGTGATGCTGTCATGTCAACATGGGCCAAAATCTCTAAGGAATATTTCAGGTACCTGGTTGAATCTTTGCCACGAAGGATTAAGGGAGTTCTGAAGGCAAAAAGGATTCCAACTCAGTACTAGAAAGGTGTACCTAATGAAGTGTCTGGTGAGTATAATTGTAATAAAAAAAATACTGTTTAGGAAAAAAAATCATAGATTCCCTTTAAATATATAGAAGTACAACCATTTTCAACATCATCAGTAATAATAAAACATGTTTTCTGAGCACCAAAATTAGCATTGTAATTTTCTGAAAATGTCATTTTGCCATGACTGGAAAAAAAAACGAGAAAAAAAAAAACAGTCATTTGACATTGAAGTAATACTTTGCAATCCCTTCACACTGCACAAAGCTCCTACATCTTATAAGGCTGTAAAATGATAGAAAACATTACAAATGTGTTTCCATGCTTTGTTAGAACTTGAGAGATGGTTTTAAGCAAATGGCCCAATTTTTTTCCACACACTAATTGCAAGGTCAGCCCCTCTGGAGAAATACTGCAATATGATGTTAAGTGCCTCGCTCAAAGGCACAGCTGAGATATCACAGCGTAATGAGATCAGTAATTCTCTATTTCCATGCACATCCATACATGCAACCCTTGTGTCAGCACCCCAGCTTCTTAACCTAGGGTTTCTCATCATTTTATTTTACACCAAAGGCCCCTTTTCATAAGCCTAAACTTTTCATGGACCCCCTGACACATAATAAAATCTAATACTGGACTTACTTTGTAGGTCAACATAGTGATGTGAGCAAATTACTGAAATGCATCCAAATATATAAGAGCATATTTCATTAAATAGCTTATTTGCTATTATTCAAATATTTAAAGTTAATAAATATATATTTGTATCAGTGCAGATGCTTTAAATTGTTCAAAAGTGTCAACAAAAAACCTATTTCAAATGAATACTAAAAAAAATTGTATGATGACACGAAAGTATTTTACTTGAGCACCAGATCAATTAACATAAATAAACAAATGATTGAATGAATGAATGAATGAATAATGCATTCCAAGACTAAAAACAATTTAAACTGTATTTGAATAGAAAATGCTATTTTAAATTGTGTTAAATTTTTAAAATATTACCTTTTTGTACAGTGTTTTAATAAATAAGTTTTCGTGATAACTTTTTTTTTCAAGAAACCCCATTTTCAATCAAATTACGTTCCTAAAATTATCGTGAAAATGATGTGGGAAGTGTAGTAAATAAAAAAATCTAAATATTGGTAACATTTGAACAGGCAATAGATACATTTATATACAAATAAACAACATACTCTGACTTGTAGTTATTAAAATGTACTAAAAACAATATGTCCTGCTCACAAATAGGTAAAATCTAATGATTTAAAGGACAATGATAAAGTATACAATTTTAAATTGACAATTATTGGAAATTTGGGGCTGCACTGAGAGCATTTTTGCATGGCATCAAATGTTTCTTGTTCTATGAATGCTTAAGATTTTAATATTGATATTTAAACTATTAAGTAAGGTATAAAGTAGGTATATAAAGTATTTTAACACAGCAGAGCTGAGATTAATCTTGATTAATCATATCCAACATAAATTTGTTTTGACATATGTGTGCGTATTATATATATATATATATATATTTTTTTATGTGATTGAAACAAAACAATACAAAACAATGTGGTTTTGCTATAGTAAGACATGTATGGTATGATAGTAAAAAAAAAAAAGTTAAATGTGAACACATCATTTCATTAACCTAATATAATTTTTCCCAATACATTTTCTAAATACATTTACATTTTTCCAATGAACAATTCTTGTTTTTAATTTCAGTTCAACCAAATAAGGATTCAAGTTTGTCTAGAACTGTACGGTGTGGAAGTGTGACCCATCAGCAACACAGCTCATGTGGAGGTTACTCTGCTTCTCTTAATGCTGCCCTTGCAGTACGATGCAATCCTACATCAGGTTAAAGGAATCTATACTCAGACTCACTATTTTAATTCTAAGTATTCAAATTTTGTCTTGTCTATTCATGATAATCAATCATCTGTCAAATTCTGAGCACTAAATGGATGCATTTTATTCTAACTGACAGTACTGAAAAGACATGTAACCTGCGAGGAGCTGTTATTGCCTGACGCTCCTTATGTAAAAAGAGTTCTAACGGTAAGTCTTTTATACGTCACACTCAACTGGCCAAAAAATAAAACTAAGCAGTGCGTTTATGCGAGTTTAATCATTAAAGATCCTCGGTGATGCCCTGGGCTGGGGCTTTGTAGTGCGAGGAAAAACACCTTGTTATGTTCAGGCTGTGGATCCTGGAGGTCCTGCTGCGACAGCAGGAGTTAAGGTGATCATAACATGTAAACAACTTGTGCAATAAAAATTTGGAATCCACCATTAGCTGGTCTATAATTGTTATTATATTTTTTTGCTTAGGTACGGCAGTTTGTGTGCCGAGTAAATGGACTTGGCGTGCTTCATCTGGACTATCGTACTCTCTCAAGGCTGGTGATGACTGGACCCCGTGTTGTTACTTTGGAAGTGATGGAACCAATGGACTAACTCAGTATAAGTGAAATTAATTTTTTTTTTGTATATTAGCGTTACAATAAATTGTACAAGGTGATTTACATTTATATGCATCATTTTTCTTGTATTTACCACATAAACTCAATGTACCAACAAAAATTAAATAATATTTTTGATACTTAATATAAAGAAATCCTCAGTGCAGTCATCTGGATGAAGTTGCCTGCATGCTTAGAGTTTTATATTCTAATTCAAATGTAAACCCAACTGAGCTACATCACTTTACTTATGTACTGTAGCATCGTATCAGTATTTTGTATTTTAAGTACACAAAAACAGCTATTCCAAGCCATAAAAACAGAAACAGGAATCTTGCAGAACTCCTATAAGGAACATGGAGGGCTCCTACAGGAATCTGACAGGAAACATGCAGCATTCCTGTAGGAATCCTATATGGAATTAGCATGAATCCTACAGGGAACGTGTGGCAATCCAGCAAAAGTCCTACAGGAGTTCAACAAAAAACATACTCTCATCCTGCAGGAATCATACCGGGAACAAAAAGGGCTCATATACAGGAAATCTGCAGGTAACTTGATACCTTAAAAAAAACTTTGTTGACATTTTCACTTTTTGCTAAAACACTCCTTCCAAAAAAATTAAAGGCTAAATCCTTAATCATGGCAGACCATGCTGTGCCCAGTCTAACATATCATTTTCTATGTATTTTCTGGAGAAGTCAACCTGTGCAACACACTAAATTTCATATTTAAAGACAAAGGGGATTATAGTGAAGGCTACATTTGTACAGAATCCTGTAAGGTGCCATGTTTAAATGGAAATAATTTAATTTTGTCAGTCTTTCAGATGGACTCAGATGGACTTTGACAACACACAGGATTATGTGGGCAACGACTCAAAAACAACACAAGACAAGCTCTATCCCACTGCTAAGATCAGTAATGAAGAATCACATCTGTCAATTGTATGCTAAGCTGTTATGCACACAACTACAACATCTGCTCTTGGTGACTTAATAGACCTAATCATTTGATGTTGCCCAGAATGAACCAATAGAGCACCAAATAGTCTTTACACATACTTGAAGGAATTTAATTGTAATTCAATTGAAATTGTCCATCTGACCCACAAGTTAACAATACTTTTGTGATGAAATTCCAGCAAATTGTGGTTCCGAACTTGGGGATAATATCTGTCTTATTAAATTTGCTGACATTTTTATGAAATTGTCCATAAGACAACAACTGGAAGAAAAAAAAATCAGATTAAGCATTTAAAGCAGCATGATAAGTCAAAAGTGTTCAACACTTTTCTGACGCTGACATGTATTAATCAGTAGGTCCCCTGAATGATTCAAACCAATTTAGCCTTTCACTTACATGGAATGTTGATGGTGTCCCTTTTTTTTAAAGTGCTCTTCTTTTCAGATCTGGCCAATCCAAGAAGTAATTAATGAACTTCCCCCAAATATGTGAAGTATGTGCTCCTGGCCGGTTTGTAGTTTTGTGCTTCTAAGTCTTAAATGAATTCCTTTTTGCAGAATTGTGTTGATGTGTGCATTCAGTTAGAGCAGAACATTGCAGCACAAAGGACAAAGAGATGAATGTGTTCAATCTTGTCTCTGTGTATGTGACTCAGATGCTTCCTGCTCTGTCCAAAACACTAAACATTTTAATGGTGAACATGAAAGCATCTGGTGTTATCAGAGGAGATAAAAAGTTCTGAAAGAAAATGGCTTCACTATGGTGTATGTATGGCAAACAAGAGACGCAAGACCATGCACCCACAGCCAGCATAGCCCAATAAAAAAATCTGAGTATACCTAGCATAGTTGAATAATAAGAGATCAGTTTATGGAAATGGACATACACTAAGCGCCAGACACCACTGTTTCCTCTTTCTCATGTAAATTACACCAGTGTGAAAAAGGACAATCAGAAACCAAAACAGACTGTTGCGTGACTCACGGGGCACACCATCAGCATTTGCATGTACTTTAGATCAGCCTCTGCATAATCTGGACCTGATGAACAGCTCCATCATCAGATCACTAGTCAAAACACAGACTGAAATGTTGCAAACAAAAACAGGATCATTCATACGCACACTTTAAACTGTGCTTGATAAGCCACAACTTTTCCCAGTGAGACAACAAGATCATTTTCCTCCCTTAGCTTTTTTTCTGTTTATTTAGTTTTATATTTAACTTACTATGCATGCAGGACTTTTAATTTGAAAATATGAGACGCAGAGTGTTTACTATGCCTTACTGAGCAACAACTGCATGAGATACATGCTCATATGAATGCGGTATAAGGTATGTTTAATTGTATGAAATTTGATGCATGTTTCAGCAAACACTTAAAGACTGCAGGATCACTCAGCTCAAGTGTTATTTTCCGGAGTGAAGAATTATTCTTTATTAAAAGTCATCTGTTTATGCAGAGGTTGATATTAATTCCTGCCAGTGTTTTCTCTGATATTATAGCTTAAAAACATGACACTATCAGACTCTTTTGTCGTGTTTATTTGTAATCTAACCTTTATCCACAACAGATTTTGTGAGCAAAATAGGTTAACATTACATTGATGGGTTTATATTAGATAGCTCAATTACTCCTTGTAGGTAAATTATGAGTGTCTGTCAAACATAAGCTTATTAATTTCCAAAATCGATCCAAATATGGTCAATATGGGACTTCCAATTGTACAGATATTTTATGGAGAAACAAATTAAAATAAAAAAAACCTAGAAACAGTTTTATAAGTTACTTAACCTTACTTAAGTTACTTACACACCTACTATGTAGATATTAAGGAAAGATTTTACCCTTTAATGCTTCTAATGTTTTTTAATCATTTTGAATTTGCTTATGACTGCTTGTTTGGCATTTTACTGTGCCAATCGGTTACTGTGCCAATCGGCAATTAACAATTTTGTGGTTTGTCTCATAATATTATGCAGAGAGCTGGTATTTGGGAAGAGAGACAATCACCATTAACAAATGACAACTTGCAATCAAGTCACTATAGTAATATTATAAGACTTCCACACTCACAAATATTGCAAGGTCTCAAAATACAGGAATGTTCTTGTTTTATAGTCTTCCATGTGCTTCTCCATGCTTCTCCTTGTCTAAGCAACTAAAAAATTCTCATAGCTCTCCTGAAAAAAAAAAAAAAAAAACTTTCCAAACACAAACATCCCTAGCAGCATTGTAGGGAAAGCTATGCAGCAACCGGAACTCATGCACAGAAACAAACACCTGCGACCCTTCATAAATGTCTATACTGCGTGCCATGCACAGTCTCACAGCTTGGCAGGTCTGTTACTGGAAAGCATCAAGTATTGTCATGAATAATTAAAAAGCAGGGTCTTCCCATAGTCAGTAAATTATAAAAAAGATACTGATGTGTCAACACTGCACTTGCAGTTAAGTGCTATACCACCAATTTTGAATCCTCCCCAATGAAGATTTTGAACCCGGAAGATGAAATTAGCTGACAAAAGCTCAAAATTATCAAGTTTTCACCACAATTAAAGTTAACAAGTACTAACGCTGTATTGCAAAAATGATATTTTGGATTGTTTTTGTATGCATTTTGTGATTTGGAAATTGTATCTCGGCAAGTTGAATTTGGAGATCCATGACATCCTCCAGAAATAATAGACATGAACATTGCAGCAACACTATTTTTTACAAAATACAGAAATTTAGATCCTGTATCCTATAATTTCTGTAAAATGTTACACAAACAGGACATCCATAGACAAATCTACAGAAATATACATAAAAAGTCCTGCAGAAATGTTACTTTCCTGCAGGACATAATACAGTCATAGTAAAATAACCCTACAGGACTCCAGTAGGAAGTAGGAACGTACACTGCGCTAGAATTTTATACAGTCCTACATGATTCCAGCAGGATCTCTGCACATAGAGCCAAAATCTAAGTATTCCTGAATAAATAAATAGTATAAATAGTTTGTGAATCTTAATGGACAGCCTTCACAAATCTGCCCAGTAAAGTATGGGGTGCCTCAAGGATCAGTTTTAGGCCCTTTACTGTTTACAATTTACATGCTACCTCTGGGAATATTCATGCTACCTCTGGGAGACATTATTAGAAGACATGGGATCAGCCTTCACTGCTATGCAGATGATACTCAATTATATATTTCAACTAAACCTGACGAGACGTCTGAACTTTCTAAACTAACTGAGTGTATCAAAGACATCAAAGACTGGATGACCAACCATTTTCTTCTCTTAAACTCCGACAAAACAGAATTATTACTTATTGGGCCTAAATCTTGCACACAGCAGATCTCGCAACTCAATTTACAATTAGAGGGATACAAAGTTAGCTTTAGCTCTACTATAAAAGATTTGGGTGTCATATTAGACAGCAATCTAACTTTTAAAAACCATATATCCCATGTCACAAAAACTGCCTTCTTTCATCTGAGAAATATCGCTAAATTCCGAAATATGCTATCCATCTCAGATGCAGAAAAGCTAGTCCATGCTTTTATGACTTCGAGACTGGATTACTGTAATGCTCTATTTGCTGGCTGCCCAGCATCCTCTATTAACAAACTTCAATTAGTACATAATGCAGCAGCCAGAGTTCTGACCAGGTCTAGAAAATATGATCATATAACCCCAATTTTATCCTCCTTACACTGGCTGCCTGTTAAGTTTCGTATTGAATTTAAAATATTACTTCTCACCTATAAAGCTCTAAATAATCTAGCTCCTGTTTATATAACCAACCTTCTGTCTCGCTACAAACCAACTCGCTCTTTAAGATCTCAAAATTTAGGGCTTCTGGTAGTACCTAGAATAGCAAAATCAAGTAAAGGAGGTCGAGCCTTCTCTTTCATGGCTCCTACACTCTGGAATAGCCTTCCTGATAACGTCCGAGGCTCAGACACACTCTCCCAGTTCAAAACTAGATTAAAGACCTATCTATTTAGTAAAGCATACACTCAATGCATCACCTAGCGGGTTCCACACTGGATTCTGCATCTTGCTTATATACACTATGAACAGCAGCTACGCTAATTATTTTCTTTATTCTCTATTTTCACCTGGGGATACTCATCCCGAGGTCCTCAGATTATGCGGAGTCACTGATTGGATCCAAGACCAGCGACGTGATGATCCCAAGGATTCCATATCCGGGACCAGGCCATATCCTGAGCTGCTGCTGCGCTGATGGTCGTGGGGAGTGGAGAACATGAGTCTGATTCCAGCGACGCTCCAGGGACAGACGAGTCTTCACTGAGGCCATGTTCCAGCATAAACCACGGCGAATGAAGTTCTGCACAAGACTTTTGGCCAGCGGAGAAATTAAAATGGTCGTGCCCAACTGAGTCTGGTTCTCTCAAGGTTTTTTTTCTTCACTCCCATCAGGTGAAGTTTTTTTTCCCTCTCCGCTGTCGCCACTGCCTCGCATGGTTCAGGATTGGTAGAGCTGCGCATGGATGAATTGGCTCTTCAGTGTCTGAACTCTCAGTAATGATTAAATCACACTGAACTGAGCTAAACTGAACTGAACTAAACTTAAACACTAAAACCTGAACCACACTGTTCCAGTTACTGAACCACACTGTTCCAGTTACTATGACCATTTATGTGAAGCTGCTTTGACACAATCTACATTGTAAAAGCGCTATACAAATAAAGCTGAATTGAATTGAAATTTTTGTATAAGTTCATTTCTGAATATGTGAGAATGTGAGCACTTTGTTGTACTCAGAAACATAGTAAATAAGTAGTTTATGCTGTAATACATTTTATAAAAGAGTAATCTAATGCAAATGTCAGCCTTGCCATGAAAAAAAAGTTTACCAAAATAGTGAAAGCCTTTTTAAGTTTTTTTTTTTTTGTATAATTATAATTATATTTAATTTACCAAAATCACACAAGTGGCAAATTAAAATCTGTTACAACCAGAACTAAGAGGTGTCACATCCATGACAAAGCTTTTTCCTCATAAATGCAAAATTGTAACATAAAATAAGAATTAATAGGTTTTGTTCTATAGAGAGCCAACTCTTATGTTTTATTAGCATTGTTTCTTTTCAGTTGTGCAGTTTAATTCACAGAATTTTACCAAAAGTATGATGCACCCTATGTTGAAAACTCAGACTTTTTTAGTTACATCCATGACATGTTTATTTTCCTCAATTAAAACATAAAAAAATGTTTACAGGTAGATATTTTTCTGATTCCATAACTCTGTTGTTTTGGAAAATATAAAGTGATGTTTCAATATAATGTTAATTTCTATGTGAATTTATCTTTTGAGTTTATACAGCAAATGTCATTTCCATAATGCTGGAATTGCTGACAACTTTTTATTAATTAGAATAAAAGATGCCCAATCATTAACATTTGATAATATTCATGGAATTCACCAAATTCAAAGGTAATGACATTCAACCAGCTATAGCCCGCTTGACTGGCAGTTCTAAACAACAATAATGTACAACAGAAATTTGGAAGGAACTCAGTGATATTACATTAACAACAATGTTGTGCGTCATATTGTAGACTTCAATTTAATAGAACACATCCCCTTAGAGCATAAGTACATTAAATGCTTATTTAGACATCCCAACTTGATCCAAATAATTGCTGGGAGTGGGATGCAAGAATGAAGACCCGGTCCACCTTTCGTATAGGCTACCCCCAGTGTCCTGCAAATTACAATGCTTAAACTATGGTTTATGTAACAAAAACATGACTAACTACCATAACTACAAAAAAACTACAACTGTTATTGTTTGTTTGTGGAAAAATATGTAACATTTTTACGGCTGAAGCAAAAAAGCAAACTATTTCAACAATTCATCGTGCACATCTCTTGCACAAATAAAACCTACTTGTGTGATGTCGATGAAAGGCCTCAGACATCAGCGTGGCCCCTTTTGAACTTCACAAAAATATATGTCATTTCCGTTTGCGAGCGTCCGCCATTTTGAACAGGCTGGGCTGGTATCTGGAACAGCCTCGACGAGGGAAAAAAAGTCTCTTCTTTGCCCTGTATCCCATCCGAATTCACATAACTTCCCGTCTAAACCGCGCAAATCGTGAATAGGTTCATGGGCTCGACAGAAACCGCCCGGTGGTTTGTGTGAATCCAGCTGAAGGCACATGGTGCGGATTCTCAGGATGAGTTGCCGAAATCCACCGGCGGCGGCAGCGGCGCGAAAGACTGCAGCATCTGCCCGGGCCGAATAAACCACAATTTATCTCAGTCATCTCGTCTTTAACTTTAATTTGAGCCGAAAACCAAGCCCTTCAAGGGAATTCCATGCGAGACCGCGAAGAAAAGCAGGTAATATGTTGTTATAAAAGCCTGTTTTCTGTCTCTAGCACCAGTGCTTTTGTGTGGAGTTCAGTGTGCACATGAAACATCCCGCGGCTAAGCTAACATGCTAACTGCATATATGTGAATAGATTGGCAATCGCTAAACTAAGTTAGTTTTTGAGGGAAATCATAAATTACTCACACGATTAAGTTATTAAATGTTGGCCCCTGCAAGGCTGGAGTATCGTCAAAATAAACGGGGTTTCATTTTGCCGAGTCCATGAAAAGGCCGCTGTGGCCTGTATTGTCTAGTGGAGTAGCATTAGTATATGCAGCTGCATGCGTGCGTGCATTGTGCATCAGGAGTCAGTTTAAAATCGAAATGGGTTTTTTATATTTTGCAAAAAAATGCATGTTTAGTGCACGAATACAAAGATGTTAGGTCTTCCAACAATCTAACAGCATTACTTTTATTATTTTTTTATTATAAACTACTCAATGTGAGTTTTAAGGGCAGTTGTGAAATGCAGAAGAACCTTTTTAAAAAGGTGTATATAAATAATTGCTTGCAGAAGAAGTGTCTATTTTACTTCTGCTAGAATGTGATGGTCTCAGCAAACGGTTTATTTTTGTTGGCACTGAATGCGTATTTACATGCATGCTTTGTCTTTTTTATTAGTATGAGGCCTTAACACAAATGTTGGAATTATTCTGAATCGTTTAAAGGGAAGTTATATGAATATTTAACATGCCTAGAATGGTATAGAAGCATATTTTATTAGTCTTTTAAAACAGACAATTTTGTGTGCTATGAAGTTGTAGCACAACTGTTTTAAGATTTATTACATATATATAAATTGTCATTTACTTATGTCATTACAAACACATACTTTTATCATATATTTCTGTATTTTTTTGGTAGTCAGTTCACAAATAAATTTGAAGCTTTTAAAACACGCATTTATAAAGCACATCACAATGACAGAAACAGTAGTGTTTTAAGTGGATACAGTCCCTATTCTTAAAGTCTTAAGTTAAGCATGGCTTCCTGCAAATGTAATGTTTTTGCAATTACATTTTTACAGAAAAAAAAATGTTTTTGTTGCGTTCATACCATTAAGTGCAACTGGTCTGCACAATAACAATTGAAATTGCAGAGTGCACCTTTTCAACAACTGACAGCTCACCTAAAATCCTTATTCCTAATGGTTTTTCATAGAAGAGATGTTTCAGCTTCCAGTGAATAACCTCACCCGGTTGAGGAAGGCCAGGAAGAAAGTCAAGAGACTGCTGAGTGACATTGGCCTTGACTACTGCAAAGAGCATGTGGAGGTGATTGCTTTTGAACAGTGTTTTATTTGTTGTTGTTTTTCCCTCAGACAAATTGAACATAAAAAAAAACAAAAAAAAACCTGAGACATCACACTAATTGATCACTTGAGCTTTATTGATGCTATTTTCTGTCCATTTCCTCTGTAGGACTACAAAGACGTAGACCCCGATGATTCTGATGACTCGAATGAGTCTCACCTTGACCTTTGTACATGGGATCCAACTTGGACAAAGTCTCAGGTATGTCAGCCACATCCGCCGCAACAGAAAAGCAAAGCAAAGCAAAGCAAAAATAACCTACACCGCATTAACATTTTGCTTGGTTTCTCAAATGTTGCAGGACTACAGAACAAAGCAGTTTTGCTGCTCAGATTGCCCGTTTGCCTCCAAATATTTTTCAGCCTACAAAAACCACTTCCGCAATGTTCACAGGGAAGATTTTGAAAGCAGAATACTTCTTAACTGCTCCTATTGCACATACAGTGGGAACAAGAGGACTCTGGAAACCCACGTCAGGCTCTTCCATATGCCTCACAATGTGATGCGTCAGGGTGTCGTTGGCCCTCATGGAGCTCCAGTAGGGGCTAAAGATGGCATGCGGGTGGACAAACCCATGCTGGGTGATCGAAAGGAGCTCCCGGTGTACTACTGCAAGAAGTGCACCTATCGAGATAGACTGTACAACGTGGTGCGCCGGCACATCTACAGGGAACACTTCCAGCACGTGGCAACACCTTACCTGGGAAAAAACTCAGAGAAGCAAGTAAACAGTGGAGAGGCCCAAGCCAACAGTCATGGGATTCACTGCAAGAGCTGCCACTTTACACCTCGTTCTTATGAAGCACTGGTGCAGCACGTCATTGAATTCCATGAGCGCATTGGCCATCAAGTCACTGCTATGATCGGGCACACAAATGTCATAGTGCCGAGGCTCCAGACGAATCCAATCCAAAGGGGTGTTCCTATCACTTCTGGCGTGCGTCCACAAACACCTCAAATGAATCGCTTCAGTATGCCCAAAGTGGTGGGGTTACCTGTTGGAAACCATTTTAAGCAAAGCCTTGCTGGCAACTCTGTGCCTGGTCAGCCAGTGCGCGTTACACTACCTGATAAAGCTTTTGTGTCTAGTGCAGTCTCTCATTCACACTCTGGAAAACACCTGGGCGGCTTTGGAGTCCATGGTGCTGCACATCTTAATGCTCAGTCAGCTTCTTTCTCCCCCTCACTGAAGAGTCTACCTCTTTCTTCATCAGTGCATGCTGCTACTGCCACATTGACATCACTGCAGGCCAAGAAAGCTTCAGCCAATGCTCTGAACACCTCACAAACACAAAAGTGGAAGATCTGTACCATCTGCAATGAACTATTCCCCGAAAGTGCATATAGTGCTCACTTTGAAAAGGAACATCAGGCAGAGAAGGTGAGGGCGATGGCTAAATACATCATGAAGATACACAATTTCACAAGCAAGTGTCTGTACTGTAACCGTTACCTTCCAAGTGACTCTTTGTTGAACCATATGCTAGTGCATGGGCTATCATGCCCACATTGTCATTCCACATTTCATGAGGTTGAGAAAATTGTAGCACACAATCGCCTGGCGCACCCCAATGAGCAAGGGGATCAGCCAACTGGTTCTCCTCTAACATTCGATCTCACACTTCAGCAAGGAAATCTCAAAAATGTCCAGCTTTTAGTAACCACCTACAATATGAAGGAGACACCTGAAGCTGCCGCTGCTGCCGCAGCTGCCAATCAACTGTCACAAAACAGCGCCATGCCCAAACCTGTGAAGGTGTCTGTAAGACAGCCGGATACCCAAAGCGATTCATTGGTGCGAAACATGTCACAGTCACCGGTGTCACAAAAGAAAGAGGTTGGAAAAACACTCTGCCCACTGTGCTTCACTATTCTAAAAGGGCCCATCTCAGATGCCCTTGCCCATCATTTACGCGATAGTCACCAGGTTCTCCAAACTTTGCACCCTGTAGAGAAAAAGTTAACCTACAAGTGCATCCACTGCCTGGGTGTGTACACAAGCAACATGACAGCTTCCACCATTACTCTCCATTTGGTGCACTGCCGGGGTGTTTGCCAGACTCCCAAAGGCTCCAAGCCCATCACGACTGGGCTGCGGTCCCCTGGAGCTGGGTCTCTGAAGCGCGAGTTAGTTACCCCTGATCCATCTGACCCAAAGAGAAGAAAGATGGTAGACCAGTCTAGGTTTTACCCTACAGGCTTCGCTGAGAAGCCAGAAGAGCCAATCGTGTTGGCCTTGGATCCAAAAGGTTATGGTGACAAATCCTACGAAGTGCGTAAAGCTTTCCTCACCGCATATTTCAATCGACATCCCTACCCCTCCCAACGGGAGGTTGAGAAACTTGCTGCAAGCCTCTGGTTGTGGAAGTCTGATGTTGCAAGCCATTTTGGCAACCATCGCCGCTTATGTGACCGGGACTTTACCTCCCGCAAACCAGTGGTGTTACTGGGCTTTAACATGCGGTTGTTGAGCCAAATCAAGCATGACATGAGCTTTGATGACAGCTGTCTGTTTGAAGTCTTTGATGATGAAAAAAGTGGATACTCAAGGACCTCATCGTTTAGGCTCAAGTCTCCCATTGGTTTCCCAGCAGACTTCATAGGGTCAAAGCAGCCATTAAACACTGGACAAAGTAGTCAAAGCAACTGTGCCTTCAAGACATGCCCTGGATCCTCCTCAGAACCCATTGCCATCGACTCTGACAGTGATTCAGAGTTGGAAGTTATACCTAATGAAAATGTCAGTCAACATACTCCAGCGTTAAGGCCTTCGATAGTTCAGTCCCAGACAAAAGGGGCATTGCTACGAGAGAGCTTACGTTGTGAAAGGGATGTCAGGGCGAACAGAAGTTCTCCCAGAGTTGGGCCAAAAGTTCTAGATGGCTCTGTTTCTAGTTCCAGTCCTGACGAAGCAACTTGGTCAGGTAATATGTCTTCTGAAGAGAGCCACTACATACCTGCGGGACGATTCGAAGTAAAGGGGAAGAAAGTGGGGTTGCTTGGTAGATGATGGCTTGTGGCGATTCTCTCCTTTCTCTTTAACTCTCCATGCTCAGATTAGTAGGTCAGACCTTTTACCTCACCTTTGGCTGACATTTGAACATTATTACATGAACTGAGTAAAAAAAGCCAGAGGAGTTACACCCTTACTGAAAGTACTGTTTACTCTCAGACACTTCTGCTGTCCAAGAGCAGAAAAACTAATATACTGTATCTCTTTTTTTCCAATTGATCCATAGTCCATGGTGTTTTTTTTCTTTCTTCTTTTTTGTATACTGTTCTCTGTATTTAATCATTCACTTGTTGGAATTGTAACAGAATTGATAGGTCTATTGTTTTTTTTCTTGATTCAAATAAAAAGACAGTGTAATTTACCATTAAGTTCTTGAATGTTTTTATTCATCATATTTATGTTCAGTTACATAATTAACGATAATTACTTTTCTGTTCTTTTCAGTACATATCCTTGTCACATACAGTTTTGTTGACTTTATGATAATATAATTGGCGGACCAGACCACTATTTTGATGCATTGTGATAGAGGTGGTGAAATATTATTTGAGCTTGAGTATTAGTGCTTAGTGTTTCTTTTTGGAATCATTATATAAAGGTAAGTCTTATGATGTTATTATTATTATCACAGCAAACAAACATTCTTCTATATTTTTTGTGGTAGGACATTATTACAGTTGTAAAGTGACCAATCTGGACTATTTGTATTGACACTACACTGCCTTTAGAGGTCACTGTCATTCATAAATACAGATAATCATTTACATTACATAAATATAGCAGCTCCATCCGTCCAAGTAAACTAAAACACTTCCTGTTCAGCTTCAAGCTAATGATCATGTTAGCTTTGCAATGCATATATAATCTTGGCACTAAAAGGTTATTATAATCCTTGCAAGCTTTAATATAAGAAGTATTGCACCTAATTTGTAATAAAATTTCCATAGCATTTATTGAAGTATTGCTTAAATAAAATGTGTCCATATGTTGCAGTTTGGGCTCCTGATGTGTGGAAAATGCAATTATTTAGTGTAACTCTGTTGAAAGACTGGTTGAAACCTAAGGTTCTTGTTAACCAGTGTTATTGAGGGAGAAGAGACTGAGAAGGACTAACGGATGTCATTTTGAATTAGCTCTGCTGGTCTTGTGGTTGCTAATCTCTTACAGTCATTTGTCACCATTTCCCCAATATATGGCTGGCCGTCCCAGCAGATAAACTCAGGGAGGGCAAAAATTAAAAATAGACACCAACCTGCCACTCAGAGCATTATGGTTCAACGTTTTAAACAACATTTATGGACACACCACTTTATCAAAACAGTGTTTTTGGATATTGTAGGTGTTTGCAGAATTTAAATATGATTGGTGTGACAAATAGTTTGAGATGAGATATTTCTGATTAACATATCAGTAAGTACAGTTACGATTCAATGTCAAAATCATGCAAGCCTGTGCATTTCATTTTAAGTTTTAGATTTTTGAGTCATCCAGAGGTCAGGATTAGGTCATGTCCACAGATGTTCACAGTTACCCTTGAGAAGTGATCTGTTTTTCACCATTGCACGTGACTAATGATCAATCATGCAATGATTTTACCTCAGTTAATGTAAGCATGCAAATTATGTATTTCTGGACTTTCTCCATTAAGTAAGGTGTATTTTAAGATCTTGCTGAGTAACAAAATATTGCAGGTGCTTGTTTTACATTAACATTTTTGCTGTGTGAAAATTTTAGTTTTTATGTTAAAACCAACCAATTAATTATATTAATTTAAATTTCTGAGCTATTCAGCATTTTTGTAAGAGGATCCTGTGGAAGGTAGACATTTTATTGCGATTTCAGCTAAGGCCGTTACTGCAGACGAGAGTTTGTTGAGTGTTGTTGGCGTGATTAGAAGAAAATAATAATTGTATTAATAACATCACCTTAAATTAAAGAAGCGGCAGTTTTCCAGTCCGGTAAGGTAAGAGTCGAGTTAATTACCTTTTTGTCGTGTGTTTGTCATTAAGTTGTAAGCATGTCTACGTGGTGATGTATTTATATTAAACTTATGCAGTCGATGAGATGCATCACACAACTGTAAAGTAGCCTACATCTTCCAGTGCAGGTGCCTTTATTTACCTTCAGTTGTGGCGCGTGAGCCCTGGCAGTACACAGATACGCAGTTTTTCCGCCTGAGCTAAATTTAGAGCCTGGCACAAATGTAACCTGGGTTAAATGCTTTGTCGCCCTCCGCCAGCTTTATGGAAAGCGTTTCATTTGCATGTTCATGCTCCAAAAGCAGATCAATTGTCAAAGCCTCTGCAAAGTGGATAAATAGACAAAGACACTATTATTGCATAGCTGCAGTGACACGAAGTCTAAATAGTGAGCGTCAAACCACAATGTCTAAAACAGTTAACGTTAGCAAATTTAAATATCATCATACTGAAAGTGGTCACTTATGAAAGTTAAGGTTAAGTGTACCGTAACCAACACGCTCTTTTACAGCATGCATCAAACTTGCCACATCTGTTAAGTCAATAAAGAATATAATAGTTTTAAACTATCACGTTTTTAAGCAGTACTAGAATTTTTATAAAAACATTATTCCACAATATATTGGGTTTATTTTAGATATGAAAACAAATGTTGAAGTCTTAAATCAAATAGTTGCCACATGATTAGTTTCGACTCCCAGAACTGATTTTGAATTGCGTTTAATGATATAAAAAAAGTTACTGTAGTATCTGTATGTAGCTGGTAATATTTCAACCTCAAAACGTTTAAAGAGCCCCTATTATGGGTTTTTAAAAATGAGCTTCCATGCAGTGTGTAACACAGGCCTAAGTGAGTGAATACACTCTGAGGTTTAAATATGAAAGTGCAGTGTGTTTAAAACTGTTGATTCTTTAATGTAATAGTCGACTCAGAGAGGATTAAATGAATCATGTTGGGTTCCGATCTTTTGCTTGAACGCATCAACGGCGATATGGTAGGCCTACATCACCAAATATGAAGTGTGGTTTCGATAAAACGTGAAAATGCCTTTCCTTTTAGACACTAGCAGAGCTCTGGGAATCACTGGACTGATCATGAGACGAAAATGATGATCACTGACAGATGGAGATTCCGATGTGGGGAATAAACTGTTATAGTAAATTTTCACAACAGTAGTCACATATCTATTATAGATCTGTATCACTCAGGTTAAATCTGTATGGGGCTATTTACTTATTGCATCCAAAATCACGTTGAAAACACAACGTGTGCTTCTTCCTTTACCGATTTAAATGCATTTTATGCTTATGATCCTCTGCCGTTTGCTTTATCCACCATCAGCTGTTCCTACACACGCGCAGCACAGTCAGTTTTCCAAAAAAATGTTTTTTTTTTTTAAAATGTTATTACTTGGGGTTAGATTTAAGAGTAGCGTAATATGCTAGTGTCACAATAGACTGGGTCATCGGACTAATCACCACAGATTAGCTACACGCTAAGGAGGGGTTTGGAAACAAATGTATCGCTGAACCAATCATACTGGAGTCGTTGGGATAGTTATGTAAAAATAAATGCATATTATAAGACAATGAAAGTGTTTTTTGACATTGCGTGCATATCAGCCGAAATCAAAATATGACCTTTTATAATGCAAAATAGGGGCTCTTTAAGTACAAGACATTTATTGAACGTCTCAAAAGAAGTCGTAATAGTCTGATTAAAGCACATACAATAAGCCATACAATCATCAATATTTACATTTAAATGATATAGCTCACAGTTTCAGCCATGTTTTTCTATTCAACTACACAACAGGTTCAAATATCACTGACAAGCTGTTTGACTGCAGCAGATATGGAGCAGCTTTAATGCATCTCTTTCAATAAAAATAGGACGGGATGCATTTATTGAGGGAAACAAAAAGTGTGTACAACATAATTTACAAGCTTCGTTATGGTCCCGTGGATGTTTCCTTCACACTAGTGTGGGCATCATGCCAGAGTTTGGGTGATGGGTGTAGGGCAAAGTGGTAGAGGAGTGTAAGGTGGAAGTTGGCAGTAGATGAGCCGGGTGACTGTAGGACAGAAGGGGTCCTGGGTTCAGAGAATACGCTCCTACATGCTCATCTGGAGGTGCCATGTGAGACATGTCAGGATAAACTTCTGAAGCTGCATTCTTTTTGCCCTTCTTGTTTCTGTTTGAAACCTTGCGGTTTCGAGTTTGTATGCCATCCTTCTTCATTGTCAAAGGCCTGTTGACCTGCAAAAAGTAGTACATTTGATGTTTTGACGGTTGATTATTTTTCCTTCTGGTAAACGTAGTGTAATTGTGTATACTCACATTGTGTAGTTTAAAATAAAGGCCGCAGGCGTTGCACACAGGCTCGCCGCTGGCATTGCGTCTCCATAGTGTTGTAGTACTAGTGTGGCAGTTGGCGCACTGCGTTCCAGCACGTTTGCTGACAATCTGATGCAGGAGACAATTTTTTGTATAATTATTTAGTTCATTATAACCAATGGGGTATATGCCAAAGTATGCTAACAGGACTTTTAATTTGCCACAGATTAAACGCTTCTGGTGAACTAAATGCCATTGCAAAATCGTTTAAGGTCTGTTTTCTTTAAAAATCAGCCATCTCCACTGGCTGAGTGATATCTAATATAAAGCTGGTCTCAGATTGTACAAGAAGCACCGCATTAAATTACATTTTTCCCCACCATGTCTTTATAATATGAGCATTTATTTTACCCCAGTATATTCAGTGGAGCTTCTGTGCTAGCCTGCCGATTCTGATGGGTGCGTGCGAGTAAACGGCATTTTGTCTTGTTTTGCGCTTGAGCAACTAAATGAATGCCAAAGTCTATTTAACTGAATGTATTTTAATGACATTGCAACATCGATGTTGTGAAAGGAACCATATAAAATGGAAAAAACTCACAATAACAGGTCACCGTAAGTTTATCAGTATGGGAACAACACTAGCTCAGCATATACCCTATTGCAAACATATTTGGTATATATATTAGGGATGCTGTTCCGATTCCATGTCATGGTGATCGGCCGATACTGATGCTGATGCTTTAAGCTTTATATAGCTTTGCTATTGCATAAAGCACATTTTCCCTTCAAGTATGATAAAGTGGAGATCTCTCCTCGGTTCATGAGATTGGCCAGATTGGCGAATACCAATCGAGTCATGAAATGTGATTATCAGTCAATAACAATCTCGGGTCGATCGATTGGAGCATCCCTAATATATTTCGTCTTATTTAATTAATTTTGGCTTGATTAAAAGCAGTTTTGAATTCTTTAAGAACCAATTTAAGGTAAAAATTATTACCCCTTTAAGCTATGTATTTTTTGATAGTCTACAGAACAAACCATTGTTATACAATAACTTGCCTAACCCAATTAACCTAGTTAATCCTTTAAATGTCACTTTAAGCTGTATAGAAGTGTCCTAAAATATCTAGTAAAATATTATTTACTGTCATTATGGCAAAGATAAAATAAATCAGCTGTTAGAAAAAGAGTTATTTAAATTATTATGTTTAGAAATGTGTTGACAAAATCTTCTCTCTGTTAAACAGAAATTGGGGAAAAATAAACAAGGGGGACTAATAATTCTGATTTCAACTGTGTGTGTGTGTGTGTGTGAATAGACATAGATAGACATTTTTCTGTCTGTATAAATATTATTTCATCACAACTATGACTATTATCAAATAACTCTTTATTTAAAGTTGGTATGTTTGTTCTGATTTCATTTGCACACAAATAGCAAATTTGCATAAAGCTATATATAGATTTAGCAAATATCAACATTTGCTTTTATATTGCGTCATAATAAATGCAGTCCATACATGCAAAATAAATATATATATATTTTAAAGAATAGTTTTTATAGAGTTATGCAATATTAATGCATAAAACAACATGTAATTTATATATTTATAGCAGATACCATTTGCATATTTTCTCATTTAGTTAAAAATGTAACTTATTATTAATCTACTCATACAATGGTGCATTATTTTATTTTGCTATATCTAGTTTTTATTACTATATAATAATGCACATGCAGTATATTCACAGTGGTTAAAATATATTATATATAGCAACTGCTTCATCACACATTGTATAATCAAGTTCTTCAGATATTATAAACTGCTTTGAAATAATCTGTATTGTGAAAAGTGCTATATAACTATATTTACCTTAGTTTAACATTAAGTTTTGTATTCATTTTACATACCAGCCTCTTTTTTGGTCTGATGAGGGGTCTGTTCTGGCCGTTCATCTTATGGTACAGTCCACAAGCATTACAGAGGTAGTGGCCTGTCCCATCTCGACGCCACAGAGGGGTGGCGGTGGCACCACAATTCACACATTCACGAGCCTCTGTAAAATTCACAAATTCTTAAAAGGAAAACACACACAATTTTAATCAATTCGACTAGATCACAACATACCAGGTGGCGAAAGTCTCATCTTGTTGCGCAGTTTGGGTGAGTACGATGAAGGGCTCATCCAGGGTCCCCCAGTTGAATAGAGCGCTGCTGAACTGTAGTCTTGAGATGTGCTCATGTAGGATCCATATGGACTCAGCATGTGTGGAGAAGGGCCGTAAACTCCTCCAGTGGCTGAACTCAGATTGAGAAAGCTGCTTCCACTTCCACTCATGGGACTCAAGCGCTCGGCTTTCAGGACTTCCTGGAGCCTGGGACTGTCTTTCCCATCACGACTCGGGGAAGGGAAGCCCTCTTTGGGGGAGGTGAAAGATGGAGTGGCAGTGTTCTGGTAGATGGACGTGGAGGTGTGAGAGTGGAGAGGTGTTTTTGCGAAAGGGCTACTGGACCAGACCGTGGATGTGGGGTTGTAGGGAGAGTTTAGAGAGTGACCTGCAGAGTTGTCTAGCCATTGGATGTTTCCCAGAATTGACTGAGATGAGTAAACTTGGCGAACTGTTTTAATGAGATAACAGAATGATCAGTTTGTAAATATAAATGGACAACAATATTGACTTAAAGAGATAGTTCACCCAAATTTAAAAATACTGTTACTCATCCTTCACTTGTTCCAACCCTGTTTGAGTTGAACAAAAAATATACTGAGAAATGTTGGAAAAAACAGCCATTCACTTGCATAGTATTTTATATTATTATAGATGTCAATGGATGTTTTATATAACATTCTTCAGAGTATTTTGTTTTGTGTTTAACAGAGGAAACAGATGATTTTTTAGCTATGCCACGAGGCAATGTTGCTTCAGACTTCATTAGTGTATCAACAAAAAGGCTTTGGCCTAAAATACAAATAACGCCAAACTATTTTGGCAGACAATTTTCATCATCATGTATAAATTCATAAATGTGATTTTGTGAAAATTGTGAATTTATGTACATTTCATTTTCAGTCTCTAGGCATGCTTGAGTATTTGAAGACAACCAAAATATCATTAGCAGACTAGGATCCTGTGTTCACAGATATTCCAGCAAACGATTTTGTGTTAAATAGACGTCTAATAGACCTCTAAACATAGACAACTTGGCTAAAACAAGTCTAAATTTGGGCTGTCAGTGAAAATCTGATTGACATCAGGAATAGCCCAAAACTAGACTAGTCGTCAAATTAGAAAGATTTTATATGTGTAGTCATTCTTTTCTGGTTATTTGATGACTAGTCTAGTTTTGGCCTATTCTTAGATATCTGTTAAATTTTTACTGACAACCCAAATTTAGCCTTGTTTTAGCCAAGACAACTATGTTTTGATGTCTATTAGACATCTATTAGAAACAAAAAATACTTGCTGGGATGTTTCTTTAGAAACTAACAAGGTCATCTACTGACCTGGAATAGATAATACACTGCATTTAAAAATGCAAAAACAAACAAAAAAAAGTTTCAATTGTTAGTACACAAATTTCATGTAAAAGTGTTATTTCATTGTGAAAGAAATTTTTAGCCTTATTTTGCATGAACCCTAGAGTTAAACAGTTTTAAATCCATTCTGCTGATCTCTGGGTTAAGCAGGAGTACTTGTAGCTAAGCTTAGCATAAATCATTGAACCAGATTAGACGATTAGCATGTCGCTGAAAAATGTCAAGAGTTTTGACAAGTTTACATGTTTCGATAATATTTCTTTTTAAAGCTTGACTCTTCTGTAGTTACATCTTGTATTAAGACAGACAGAAATCTAAAGGTCGCTATTTTCAAAGTCGATTTGGCTAGGAACAATACTCTTATACTCTACCATACTACCCTGCTGATAAAAACAGCATGCTGGTAAGGTATGTTTAGATGCTGGTATGCTGGTCTTGCTGCTTTCAGTGTTGATTTCAATGCTGTTTTTGCTGGTCTTGATGCTGGTTTTGCTAGTCTCAGTTCTATTCCTGACCAACATTGAGACCAGCAAAACCAGCATTGAAACAAGCAAGACTAGCATACCAGCATCAAAACATACCTTGCCAGCATATGCTGTTTTTTCAGTTGGGTAATCAAGGTATTTTGCTGCAGTACCATGACTGCAGCAGGTGCAATGGTATAACACAGTGCTGTTACCTAGCTGGAAACTATTTTCAGGTGCTGCAACGTCATTGAGCCTGCTGCCACCATGGTAAGGCAGAAAAATCCCTTAATTAGCTATTAGATTTGTGTTAAGCTACGCTAATTGTTACTTTAAAGAAAATATTGTTTACAAGTAACGCTTTTTAATTTTCAAAGCAGTTGAGCAATAAGTGCATGTCTTCAGACAGCTTCTATCTATCATTACATTTTCAATACCATTTGGTGATACAGAAATGGTCTGTTTGGACTCACCTGGACTGTGTCTATAGGATGACGAGGCTCGGCTCTGGACGCTGGTGGAATAATACGATGGCAGTAGGTCAGTCTCAGAGCTGGAGTAGAAAGGTTCATCTACATCAACGGGTGGCAGTAAACCAGAGTCTGTTGTGTAGTTTACCAATGGGTCTGGACTGAGCAGACCGGGGGACACCCAACGAGAAGGCTCAGAGGAGTTCTCCATCTGGCAAATCATGAAAAATAAGGCTCAAGCTTAATTGTAATGACTGGAAAGATTTTGAGTAGATTCTAATATGCACATGCAAACATTCAGAGCAACTGGCATCAAGGAAATGATGACTGATATCAACAGGTATTGGAGATCTGCTTATTAATACATATGATGGTTTATGAAGGTATCTAGACAGTACGGCCTGTCACACTTCCCTTTGAAAGGTCCTCATTTGACTGTGGCAAAAAGTCAACACTAAAAATACATCGGCTTGTCTAAATTTTTCACAAGCATTCACAACAGTTAGCATTAGCTCACAACAACATTCACTCCCTTGGGGTAATTGACTATTAAAAGAGTAACAGAAAAAAAACAGACTTTTGAGTAAGATTAATATTGATATTAATATGTCTGTACAGAAAAATTGTTCTAAAATATATTTTCAGTCTCAAAGCAAGTTGTTTATTACATTTATATAGTGTAGTTAAGCTCAAATAAATATTGTTACAGATATTATTATTGAGACTTAGATTACTAGAAAAAAATATATGGTGTTTGTTCGCACTTATTTCTCTTTTATTTTTATTTAGATTTTGTTTAAATCATTTTTTATTTGCCTGTAGTTGTAGAGTCTAATCTGAGGTCTATAATTAATTAAAATTGAACTGCAAACCTTAGATATCGTAACCTCCCCATAAAATAGTTCAACCAAATATTTACCCAGCCATCTTTATCAAAACATAATTGTATTTATGGACGAATTGCATAAATAATATTTAACACAATAATGAAAATTCCTCATTTTGTCTTGCCGTTTCCCCTCAGTCCGTCGCGTTATCACATTGAATAGAAAACACTGCACCCCATCTATATGAGTGATTATGAATCCTATCACATATTCTTCTGATAACAGTGGTTTACTTAATCTACTACAGTCTACTTAATGATTTCACACATTGCAAGTGTGAGACAATATTTAGTTCATAAAAAGTGCATATTAGCTTAATTCAGTGCTAACTCTGTGCAATGTTTTAACCAAAGCATATGTGTGGTTGTTTGATGTATCAAACCTTTAATATGAATACAGACTGTAACGTTCAGAATACTTTTTTGTTGTAAATTTGCATATATGTATGGTATATACTAACATAAATAACATGATAATAATAACACAAATATACATAATTACAATTATTTCACTTGACATTTGAATAAACGTTTAACATTTCATCATTGTTGCAGGATTTAAAAGCAATTTACTTATTAAGTGCTTACCTGACTTAACATTTTAATGTCAATATAAGTGTATTAAACATACTGCAAGGTTTAAAAGCTGATTAAATCAAGTGTATCACATACTTGGCAAAATTTAAAGACGTAGAAATGACAGATAAACAAATAATTATTCCAGTAATTAACATAATAAAAATAATTGAGTGAGTATAAAGCCAGCTCATGTGTTGTTAGACACTTTTTACTGACACCGTATTTATGAACTTACCTGCAAGTGTAGTATTGAAGATGTCGTTTATCAGTATCAGGAGATTCTCAGATCATGGAGTGAACTAGCCGCCTGTTTGCTTGCTTATCTCCTTCAGTCTTTGGGAACTAGTAGGTTCATTTGAAATTGTAGGGCACCAATGGGTGGGGTTGGGGTACTTTTTTTTTGGACACTCCTACCATACGGGTGGCCACGCTTTCCATTTTGAATATTATATGGCAGATCTCTAGCTGACACAGCATGTGAGTTCAGTTCAAATGAATAGTGGAGGATTGTGTAAATATTTTTCCTTTTTTTTTATTTTGAACACAAATTATTTTTATAATACACATATATAGTGAAAGAATCAAAACTGAAATTAGTTTCACTGAGTAAATGTTAGGAAATTAAAATAAAAATATTAAGAAACAAAAATTTTAATTCCTATTTAAATGTTTTATTAGATTTTAGCCTATATGACCTTATAGACAAAGACTGGATGTTCCACATCTACACTGTAAAAATATAAATATGAACAATTAGTCATGACAGTTTTTAGTTCATTGTAACATTAATCTATGGTGTTCTAACTTAATTTGATAAGTTATTCATTCAGTTTTATGTCAGTTTAACATAATTTAAGTTCAATGTACTGATAAGGTTAACTTGATTTAACTTAAAATTTAAGGTTGGATTTTTTTTGCAGTGTACATCAAATTAAATGTCCAAAAGTCATTTTATTTACATAGAAATCATATTAAAACCACAGTTAGTGTCCATTTTTTCAAAAAAATAAGTAAAAATAAAATGCCCCAAATATGAATGAAATGTTTCATCATCGTTAAGTGCATCATATGGTTATGTAAAACTAAAGCTACATATTTATTCTCACTTTTTAAAAATATACTGCTCAAAAAAATAAATAAATAAAGGAAACGCTTAAAAACACAATGTAACTATTTTTTGTGCAGTATATATTAAAGTAAAAATGCTGCTCATGTTAAAATATATAAAATTGAAAATGATGAATAACATTTTGCTGAATAATCAGTGAAACCTAGTGGTTTGAGAAAAAGTAACAAATTATAACAATTTAAATTGACGATTAATTAGTCCCTAATTGATTTACTTACAATTTTTGCATTGCAATACTTAACTCCTAATGTTGCTACACACTCGATGCATTTTTTTCAACACATCTCGTCATTTCTAAAATATCAACCTCTACCAAATGGTTGATATGTCGGTTTATGGTAAAAGTACTGGAATTAATACATATACTAAGTGTAAGGCCAATTTATTTAAAAGCAATATTCAAAATAAAACATTTTTTAATACTAAATCATCTTTATTTTTGAAGTATGCGGTAAAAATATTTGAGATTCTCATTTATTATGCTTTCTGGTTGTTTTTTTACAATTAAACCAAACATGTTCTCCCCGTGTTTGTGTGGGTTTCCTGCAAAGACATGCAGTTCAGATGAATTGGGTAGGCTAAATTGTCCATAGTGTATGGATGTTTCCCAGTGATGGTTTGCAGCTGGAAGGGCATCCACTGTGTGAAACATATGCTAAATAAGTTGGCGATTCATTCCGCTGTGGCGACTCCATATTAATAAACAGACTTAGCCAAAAAGAAAATGAATGAAACCAAAATTCAGAGTAGTCGTGCAAAAGAATTATGTTTGATTTTTTTGTAAACCAGCAATGATGTGTGTGTAAACCATTATTTAAAAAGTCAAAAATGGACACCCATTGGGTAAATGTGCAGTCAAAGGGTTATTTTTTTGCATGATTGGTATTTTAAATGTACCTAATGATGTTTTGGTATTTAAATTATTATACTAAATTCAGTTTATCAGGCATCTTCTGTAAATTAATGCAAAAAAATAGTAATAATACTATAGAAACAAGACAAAAAACACTAGTATTTAATTTCTAATCTAAATAAAATACTGTCAGAGATTATATAAAATGGCTTCACTTATAAATATAGATAAAGACGCAAATCCAACAGCGCTGGGAAAATCCCACAGACAGCCAGAGAAACCTAATTTTACAACAACCATAAACTTATAGTATCTATGATTCAAGCACATCATTAATAAAGTTTCATTGTTTAAAAGAATTAAGCATATGCTGTGGCCTAATACATTTGGCAATTAAAATGGCGTGCAAAGTGTTAACAAAGAGCACTTGGGATGGAAACGGTGACTGTGAACAAAGCGAATGAAAATGCAAAAGCACTTTTCCCTGGTGCAGCTCAGCAAAGAACAGTAATGCAAATAAACTCAAATGCTGCAATCATGGTGAGAGATACGGACGCAGAACGGCCTGCCGGAGCACAGGACTAAGACTGTCACTCTCATTTGACAGGCAAAACACTTTCAACTTCCCTCCACCATTGTGCATTTATAATTTTCAGGGAAACTGGGATGAGATCCAGAGAAGCAAATCCTTCACCAAGCGCCAGGTTATTGATTTACATAAGGTTCCATTTTAGAACCTTAACATATTATATATGTATTGTTACATTAGGAATCTAAACTTTAATATTTTAAACTCAAATATACTGGATAATATAATATAGTATATTATATATTACTTACATTGGTACAATACAATATAATGCATCAATTATGAATGACTTGAAATGCATTGCATGTGTATATCAATGAAGACAAAACCTACAATACATGTTATGTTACTGAAATGCTTAATTGATTTCAATTCGTTGACTTTCAGCATTTGCATAAAGCAGAAGCCACATATATAATGATGTTAATAAATGTATTTATATTATGCACACATGTTCTTATATAAATTAATAAAAAGATACACTGTAAAACCCAACAGTCAACTTTATTAAATGAAATGAGTGTAGTAACTCAAATGGTTTGAGTTTAACATTTTGGGTTTTATTGTGTACATATGCATAAAGAAATGTGTGTGTGTGCGAGCGTGCGTGTGTGTGTGTGTGTGATATTTTTTCGCATGTGCATCACATATATTATACCCTCTATTAATAAATATATATTTGTACACATTACCAAACGTTATTTGTAATTGTACATGTAATTGCATACAATTACATTTTTAAATATGAAGCTGCAGTTTTTCATGTATTATTAAGCATACTGTACCAAGCACCATGTTATTGATTTACATGAGGTTCTGTTTTAGAACTTAAACATATAATTCATAAATATTGTTACATTAGGAATCTAAACTTCGATATATAAATACTCAAATATACTGGATAATATAAAACAGTATATTGCATATTACTTATTTTGGTTCAATATAATATGTTGCATAGACTATATATGGATTTTTGAAATGCATCGCACATTTATATCAATGAAGACAAAACCTACAACATATTTTGTCACTGAAATGCGTGTGTATGTGTGTGTGTGTGTGTGTGTAGTTAAAGTCAGAGTTATTAACCCCCCTTTGAATTTTTTTTTTTGTTTTTTAAATATTTCCCAAATTATGCTTAACAGAGTAAGGACATTTTCACAGTATGTCTGATAATATTTTTTTTTCTGGAGAAAGTCTTATTTGTTTTATTTCAGCCACAATAAAAGCAGTTTACATTTTTAAACACCATTTTAAGGACAAAATTATTACCCCTTTAAGCCAATTTTTTCAATAGTCTACAGAACAAACCATCGTTCTACAGTAACTTACCCAATTATCCTAACCTGCCTAGTTAACCTAATTAACCTAGTTAAGGCTTTAAATGTCACTTTAAGCTGTATAGAAGTGTCTTGAAAAATATCTAATAAAATATTATTTACTGTCATCATGACAAAGATAAAAGAAATCAGTTATTAGAAAGGAGTTATTAAAACTAATGTGTTAAAGAAAACTAATCTCCTTTCAGCAGAATAAATATACATAATATGCATACTTGCATACAAACAAATATATGTACTATTATTATTATTTTTTTTATTATTATTAAAAAAAGTTATTATTATTATTTATTATTATTTTTTTATTTATTTATTAAAAAAAGTTTGTGTGTGATAGTATACATCAAAACATATAAAAAATATGAGGCTGCAGTTTCACATGTATTTATGAGCGTACTGTAATATATTAATACAATAAATGTTCAGGAAAGTTAATTTTCTTTAACAAATTATCAATTTAAGGCAGTAATCCTTTTTTACAGTGCGTCACAAATCAACATAATTATAGAATATTATCTTAAGTTGTAAGTTATGTTTTATGAAGCTATTTGATAGCGTTATGTGATAGTGTCATCTTTTTATTTATGTGTTTATTTATTTAGACATCTATGGTGTCCATTTACTCACATTTTATAGTATATAGAGTAGCTTAATTATGCTCACAAAAACTAAACGGTCAAAGAGAAAGAAGTCTCCAAAGACCAGTTTTGAGGGATGTGGCTGTGTGTGTGTTTCTGTGTGTGTGCGCTGCTGCTGAACTGTGATAAGAAGCTATCTAGATTGGAGTGGGAGGTTGGGGATCGTATAACTAGTAATGGCACTACATGAACAAATTCACAGCTACAGTGACACCCTCACTGCTCATCACACAATGGTGTGTTTTTTCACAACTCATAGTTTACTTAGCTCATCTAAATGATGATTTACTTTTGTATTGTCGTGTGTAGCTAATTGTGAATGCATTTAAGTACTGTGCAAAAGTCTAGAGCCGTCAAAGCAGTGGTATATTTATTTATATTCAGCCAACTTTTTGGTCTCTTTAGGTGTTCTGTTAGAGGTTTAATCTAAATGATATTTTCAGAATAAAATGACTTGTCAGTATTTGGTGTGACCTGACCTGTTCAGTTTACTGTATACTGTATTTGAACTGTTCTGTATACTGTCCTGAGGTTTCATTTTAAATAATGTGCTATGTAAAATCAGGCTTTTAAGCATTTCTCATAGTGCTTCTTTTGATTTAAGTTCTTTAGATTTAAGATTAATGTTTATTTTTCTTTCAAGTGATACTGCACCATCTCTATAACATTCAGGTCTGGACTCTGTGTAGGCCATTTTAAGAATCAGCTGTTTTGGTTTGCAAATATGATTTCATTGCATTAGAAATGTGCTTGTGGTTATTATAATGCTGAAAATT